ACCTTTTTACCTGTTTGTTGAACCCACAATTTCAGTGTCAATAAGAGAATTCCTGTGCATAAATGGTTTAAAAAGAAAGATCCCGATGCTGAATGTGCATTTTGTTAGAGTCCTGCTTACCCATGGTCTAGAACAGTGGTCCTCAAACTTTTTAAGCTGAGTGCCAGTTCACAATCCCTCAGACTTTTGAGGGCCTAGACTATAATTTGAAAAAAAACATGAACAAATTCCTTTGCACACTACACATATTTTTGTAGTGCAAAAAAACCTCATGAAAGAACAATACAATATTTAAAGCAAAGAACAAATATAACCAACATAAACCTACCAGTATTTCAATGGGAAGAGTGGGCCTGCTTTTGGCTGAAGAGATTGTCAAGTTAATTAGGAGAGTTGTTGCTATGTGCCTTCAAGTTGTTTCAGGCATAGGGCAACTCTAAGTCTAAAGTTTAGGGTGGGTAAATGAGCTTGGAGGGCTGCATCCGGCTCACGGGCCTTAGTTTGGGGACTCCTGGTCTAGAACAAGTGGGAATAATGGGATTCCTAGCCCCAAAGAAGCCCTTACTAACCAAAGAAACAGTGGCCCTAGAAGTTTCCAGCTGTCCAGAATCTCTTTTTTAAATATGTTGCAGTGCATCCCTGTAGCCTTTAAATTTATTTATTTTTTTGCCATGGTCCATTCCTAGTCTTCAGCTAGGATTCCCTTGGGAATGTGGTATTTGCATTAGCAAAATGTCATAGTTAGATACTGACCATTGTATTAAAATGTCAGTAAGACTTCCTTAAAGGAGAATCAATAAAAGAACAAGGAAGTCTAAAGAGACATCATAGAAAAACTGTAAGTTTGTGGTGAGGGTCAAGCAGGTTAATTAGAGAAATAGATGTAAAGGTTAATTTACCTGCATGTCAGAGTGTTCCAGGAATCAGCAAATGATTTCATTTTCTGACTATCTCATGCTAATCTATTGACCTTTTATGCAAATCTCTGAAGAGCTGCAGTTCTCAGAACTGTAGTATTGTAAATAGAGTCCCATAAAGGCATAGGATGGGGAAGAGCAGAGAGAAGGGGTGGCGCTGTGGCAACATTCTGGTGGGTTTTTTTTTATCATGTCAGAAGTGACTTGAGAAACTGAAAGTCGATTCTTGTGAGAAAAAATTGGCCATCTGCAGATACGTTGTCCAGGGGACGCCTGGATGTGTTACCATCCTGTAAGAAGCTTCTCTCATGTCCCTGCATAGGAAGTTGGACCTGAAAGATGGGAGTTCAACCTGGTGTTGATCACATATACTAATTGTGTCAAGTGTTAAAATTGCCCCATTCTACATGAAGGAGATTCACAGTTTGCTCCCTCACAGGTAATAAAAGTGGAATAATAGTTGACCTTGTAGTAGAGTAGAATTGTAGAATGGAAAAATTAAGGGTCAAAAAACTTTTGGAAAAATGCATGTTGGTTTTATGTAAATTTGATGTTCAAAAATGACCTCAGACCTCCATAATGTGCAGCCCCCTATCTAAGTTGCTTTGATGGCTTTATTTTGTAATATGTAACTGGTAAAGATTTATTTGGGGAGTAAAGAGTAGACACAACACATGAAAGTGTTCTAACAGACTTTCAAAAACACTTTAATTCACTGGTTATCTATATATATAAATCTGTTAGGTTCGTTCAACGGGACAGCAAAACTCCACAACCCCCCAACGAAACTGCAACAAAATTGCCATGCCCATAACACAACCCACAAGGTACAAACATATCTACTCAAAATGAAAAACAACACAAAAACACACTCACAAAACGGCAAAACAACAAAACCCAAAAAACCCCCAACGAAACTGCACCAAAATTGCCATGCCCATAACACAACCCAAAAGGTACAAACATATCTACTCAAAATGAAAAACAACACAACAACACACTCACAAAACGGCAAAACAACAAAACTAAAAAAAACCAACGAAACTTAACCAAAATTCCCATGCCCATAACACATCCCACAAGGTACAAACATATCAAAATGAAAAACAACACAACAACACACTCACAAAACGGCAAAACAACAAAACTCAAAACACCCCCAACGAAACTTAACCAAAATTCCCATGCCCATAACACAACCCACAAGGTACAAACATATCTACTCAAAATGAAAAACAACACAACAACACACTCACAAAACGGCAAAAAAACCGAAACTCAAAAAAACCCCAACGAAACTTAACCAAAATTCCCATGCCCATAACACAACCCACAAGGTACAAACATATCTACTCAAAATGAAAAACAACACAACACACTCACAAAACAGCAAAACTCAAAAAAACCCCAACGAAACTTAACCAAAATTCCCATGCCCATAACCCACAAGGTACAAACATATCTACTCAAAATGAAAAACAACACAACAACACACTCACAAAACGGCAAAACAACAAAACTAAAAAAAACCCCAAACGAAACTTAACCACACACACACACAAAACCCCACGCTCCATCACTCCCCCCGCCGCCGCACACACACACACAACCCCACGCTCCATCACTCCCCCGCGCACACACACGCAACCCCACGCTCCATCACTCCCCCCCGCCGCCGCACACACACAACCCCACGCTCCATCACTCCCCCCGCCGCCGCACACACACACACGCAACCCCACTCCCCCGCCACCACACACACACACGCAATCCCACGCTCCATCACTCCCCCGCCGCCGCACACACACACACGCAACCCAACGCTCCATCACTCCCCCGCCGCGCACCCCCACGCACCCCCACTCCCCCCGCCGCCGCACACACACACACAACCCCATGCTCCATCACTCCCCTGCCCCAATCTTACCTCCTTTTACTTCACGCCACCTCCAAACCCCACCCCGCCCCTTCCCGCCCTGTCAAAATCCAGGAAAGACGGGAAGGAAGGAAAGAAGGAAGAAAGAGAAAGGGAGGTAAAGAAAAAGGGGGAAGGAAGGAAAGTTAGAGAAAGAAGGAAGAAGAAAAGGAAAGAAAAGGAAAGATGGAAGGAAAGAAAAGAGAGACAGCAGAAGAGAAAGAAAAAGGGGGAAGGAAGGAAAGAGGTAGAGAAGGAAGAAATGAGAGACAGAGGGAGGGAAAGAAAAAGGGGGAAGGAAGGAGAGAAGGAAAGAAAAAAGGGAATGAAGGAAGGAAAGAGGGAGTGAAGGAAGGGGGAAGATGTAGAGAAAGAGGGAGGGAAGGAAAGAAGGAAAGAGAGAAGGAAGAAAAGAGACCAGAAGAGAAAGAAAAAGGGGGAAGGAAGGAAGGAGAAGGAAAGAAAAAAAGGAATGAAGGAAGGAAAGAGGGAGTGAAGGAAGGGGGAAGATGTAGAGAAAGAGGGAGGGAAGGAAAGAGAAGGAAGAAAAGAGACCAGAAGAGAAAGAAAAAGGGGTAAGGAAGGAAAGAGATAGAGAAGGAAGAGGAGAAGGAAAGATGGGAGGAGGGAAGGAAGGAAGGAGGGAAAGAAGGAGAGAAAGAGGGAAGGTTGGCCACAGCAACACATGGCGGGTAAAGGTTGTTATTTCTATTATTATTATGCTATTATTCCTATTAGACCCTGGGGGAATGGGAGAGGTGTCAGGTCCCAGAGGCAATGCATTGCATTATTGTTATTGTTATGATGGTGGTGAAATAAAAGGAAATAAAAAGTGAAAGAAGGAAGCAAACAGGGAGGGAAGAAAGGCAAAGGAAGAAAGGGGGAGGGAATGAAGGAAAGAGAGAAGGATGAAACCAAGTAGTGAAAGAAGGAAAGAAAGAAAGAGTTAGAGAAGGAAGAAAGGAGAGAAAGGGGGAGGAAAAGGGGGAAGGAATAGGTAGGTACCTCTCTTTCATAATAGTCCAGATATCTACCTCAACTTTGACAAGTTTTACTATAGCCCACAGCAACGCGTGGCAGGGCACAGCTAGTGAAACATAAAAATCTGTTTTAAATCTAAAACCTAAGCAAGACTGAGTAAGAACAGTTTTTTTTCATGTCAGGAGCGACTTGAGAAACTGTAAGTTGCTTCTAATGTGAGAGAATTGGCTGTCTGCAAGGAAGTTGCCCAGGGGACGCCTGGATGTTTTTGATGTTTTACCCTCCTTGTGGGAGGCTTCTCTCATGTTCCCTCATGGGGAGATGGAACTGACAAGAGAGCTCATCTGCGCTCTCCCTGGATTCAAACCTCTGACCTGCCAGCACAAGGGTTTAACCACTAAGAACAGAGAATCTGTAAAAAAACTGTGACTGATATGACATTTATTTTTTAAAAAATCACCAAAATACATTATAAACAGATACAATATGTTGCTGCTTTTGGGGATGGGGTTTAGGATGCTCAAAATTCAGAATTGTTTACGTGGGTGGCTGAAGCAGTCATGCCTTTGTTTTAAGATCATCTAAATCTGAATTTCCAAAAAAAAAAAAATGGGGGGGGGGGGAATCAGAAATGTTAACACACATCCTGCAAGGGATGCTATATCTCAGTAGTTCTCAACCTGTGGGTCCCCAGATGTTTTGTCCTTCAAGTCCCAGAAATCCTAACTGGCTGGGATTTCTGGGAGTTGTAGGCCAAAAACACCTGGGAGGACCCACAGGTTGAGAACCACTGTTCTACCTGCAGATATGCTGAAGTTGACATTAAGTCATTTAGATGATGAGAATGGGAGACAAAAGGAGTCATAAAAATCAGGCATGGGCAAACTTGGGCGGCTACCAGGAGTTTTGGACTTCTGGCTGTTAGGAATTGTGGGAGCTGGAAGTCCAAAACACCTGGAGGGCTGAAGTTTGCCCATGCCTAAAATAGGAGGAGATGAGCAACGTTGTGCGGCCTCCTCCTCGGAATGCGCCGCAGCCAATAGGAGGTGCCTGAGCAACATCCCTGTGGATCCCCTGAAACTCCCTCCCCCCCCCTTCGCGCAGTGGACCCTTCCCTTCTCGCGAGACCCTCTGAGGAAGGACCCACCGTTCTCGCGATGCTTCCTGTTGCCTGACAGTGGCCTCGCCCCCCGGAGAGAGGGATGGAGGCGCCGCTGGTGCGGGACTCTCCGCGCCGGGTGCCGGGCAGCCCGCCTCCGCCGCCGTTCCCGGGCCCCCCTCCGCAGCCTCCGCCGTCGCCCCCGACCCTCCTGCCGCCCCCGCCCGCGCCCCCGCCGCCGCCTCCAGCGCCTTCCACCGCGGGGAAACAGCCGCAGCGGGAGGAGAAAAGAGCGGCGCTGAGTAAAGTGAGGAGGGAAGGGAGGCTTTCCTTTCAGCACCAGGGACAGCGCCACGCAGGAGGAGGGAGGGAAGGAAGGAAGGAGAAAGAGGAGGAAGGGAAATGAAGGAGGGAGAGGGAAAAGGAGGCGTGGAGGGAAGGGGAGGGAGAAAGAGGGAGGGAGGGAAGCAAAGAAGGAAGGAAGAAGGAGGGAAAGGGAAGGAAAAGAAGGAGGGAAGGTGCGAAAAAAGAGAAGGAAGGAAGGAAAGGGGAAAGGGGAGAGAAGGAAGATAAGAAAAAAATCAGGGAAAGAAGTAGGGGAAAGGGAAAATTATACTGGAGGTATATGTATTGTGGTATAATAATATAATTATATATTATATTACTAATAATATTGCAGTATGGTGGTATAGTACAATATAATAATATATAATACTAATATTTTGTTATGCTAATAGTATAGTATATAGTCTATACATATAGACAATATGAGCCCCCAGTGGCGCAGTGGGTTAAAGCACCAAGCTGCTGAGCTTGTTGACCGAAAGGTCGCAGGTTCGATTCCGGGGAGCGGCGTGAGCTTCCACTGTCAGCCCTAGCTTCTGCCAACTAGCAGTTCGAAAACATGCAAATGTGAGTAGATCAATAGGTACTGCTCCGGCGGGAAGGTAACGGCACTCCATGCAGTCATGCTGGCCACATGACCTTGGAAATGTCTACAGACAACACTGGCTCTTTGGCTTAGAAATTGAGATGAGCACCACACCCCAGAGTCGCACACGACTGGACTTAATGTCAAAGAGAAAACCTTTGAGAGAAGGTAGGAGAGAAGCAAAGAAGGAAGGAAGGCAGGAAGGAAGGAAGGGAGGGAGGGAGGAAAAGGAAAGAAGGAGGAGGGAAGGGAAAAAAGAAAAGGAAGGAATGAGGGAGGGAAGGTGTGAAAAACTAGAGGAGGGAGGATTGAAAGAAAGGGAGAGGGGAAAAGAGGGAGAGGGGGGAGGTAAAGAAGCAGGGAGGGAGGAAGGAAAGAGGGAGTAAAAGGGGGACATTTCTAAAAGGAGGTGGGGAATACAGGTGGGCCACCAGCTGATATGGGAGAGCAAAGTCTCCCCCTCCACCACCACCCCCAATGATAGGAACCCTAAACCAACCAGATCCTGTCTGGTCTTGGAAGCTAAGCAGGGTCAACCTTGGTTAATACCTGGATGGGAAACCAGGATGCAAAACCATTATTTGAGTATTCTTTCCTAAGAAAATTCTGTGGACAATTAATGAAATCTCCATGAGATGCCAAGAGGCATGAAGGCGCGCGCGCACACGCACACACACACACACACACACACACCAGTAAATGTGTATAGTGAACACTTGGTATTCACTAGGGTTTGATTCTAGGTCTCCCAGTGGACACCAAAATCCCTGAGTGCTCAAGTCCCATTGTATACAATAGACTAAAATATTGTCCCTGGTATAAAATGCAAAAGCAAAGTTTGCTTTAACTATAGTGATTGTTAATCTTGTTAAGAGTATATATTTGGGAGTATGTAGATAGATAGATAGATAGATAGATAGATAGATAGATAGATAGATAGATAGATAGAGATATCCAGAATTATAAGCTGTTATTGATGTGTAAAAGTGTGTGTGTGTGGGGGGGGGGGGCGTCATGTATATGCAAGGTAAAAAAGTGGAGATGCTGCAGTATGTGGCTCTGGCCAGGTTCAGGACCCTGGCCAGAGGCACCAGTACTGTTAGTAGCCTTGGACTAGGTAGGATGCCTTATTTAGATCCTGTTAGATCCTGAGCACCTGTTAAAGAAAGGAGCCTATATAGTCCCAACCTCATCTTTATTTGCCACAAGACTGCCCACCCTCACCCCCCACCAAGATGGAGGATTTTTGTTGCTGTTGTTGTTTGGTTTTTGCTGTTGTTGTTGTGTGCCTTCAAGTTATATATGATTCATGGTAACTCTAAGGTGAACCTAACATGAGATATAATTCATAAGTTATGATTAGAAGATCCCCTTACCCTTCTTCTGAGGCTGAGAGAAGGTGATTTGCACAGGGTCATCCAGAATATTGTTAGTCCTGTTGTAACTGGATGCATATGTTTGTTCCACTGTTTCAGTGGGCATGCTCTAGTTGGGATTTAGACCTTTAACATTTGTTGTTGTTTGTCTACAAATCCTTTCTGGTTTATGGTGAACTCATCATGATGTTTTCTTGACATGACTTGTCCAGAGGTGAGTGATCATTCCTTTCTCAGAGACTGAGAAAATCTGATTTGTCCAAAGTCATCAAGGTTTGCATGGCCAAGTGGGGATTCATAACTTGGTCTCCCAGAGTCCTAGTCCAGCACTCAAACCAGCACACTGTGTTAACTCTACCGGGTTTCTTTATGTTGTTGTTGCTAATTCAATTTTACTATCAATGACAGGAAGAAATCCTGGTAGGATTGTCTGGCTGGGTGTAATGTTTCTCCACCCCATTCCCCATTACATTGGAAACCAAAGCAGGAGAAAAATATCCCAAGTGTAGATTTGACACAGCATTGTCCATTTCAAATAGAACAGGATTGTGCTGAGGAAAAACATTGCAAAGGATTGACCTTGAGTCTAGCTATTAGTGAACATCATTTCAACTTGTAGAAATAAAGGTGGAATGCACAGTTTGAGACTCTCAAGATGTTTTTGGACTCTCTCTCCCATCAGTTCTAGCCAGTATGGGAGTTGAAATCCAACAACATGTGGAGCTTCACAAGGTGCTTAGCCCTGTAGTAATGTAACGAGTACATTTTTCCAGACATGAAATGCAAATAATGTTTGTTTTTGTAGTGTTGCATGCATTGGAAGAGATCCCACTGAGAGCATCCTCAGTTTTTCATGTGATATTTGCAGGTAGTTATACGCCGGCTGCCTCCTAGTTTTACCAAGGAGCAACTGGAAGAACAACTCCATCCTCTTCCTGCTCATGATTACTTTGAATTTTGTACTTCGGATCCCAGGTGAGGCAAATGTACTTACCATCCCTGTGAATGAAAATGGCATTTGATATGGGATCACATGTTGTCACCTCAATTTTAGGATTATCCATTTCTAATACAGAGAGAATCATAAACGTGCTTTGTTGTGCAACAGTGAAAAATATATTTGTTCCTTATCTAGTCTTTTTTATCATGGCATATGTCATTAAAAAGCCCCTAGGATAAGTGAAATGAATGTTATAGCTTTAATCAGTCTTGCAGTGGTCTTCCTACAGGGTAGTGGTTTGAGTCCCCAAGTCTGTGTGCCACTAAGGTTGCCTTCCTTTCAAGATTCATTTTTCTATGGCCTAGCATATCATCCTTCTAAAACTTGCAGTCTTTTTTTTAGTCTGTTCAGTTCTATTTCCCACACACATAAGTCCACTTAATAGTTGTACATATTAAATCCCTGCCATTATCTAAGAAATATCTGTTTTGTAATCATTTCATGCGATTTATAATTTCTTTGAGATGACACATATTTATTTATTTTGAACATTTTAATTTCTCAACCCCTAGGGGGACTCAGGGCTGCTGGGGGACTCAGGGCACATACTTCCACCCATTCTTCCATTTGGAATACAAATAACAGGAGATATTAATTTTTGTTGCAGTCTTTATCCTCATCTCTACTCAAGGGCGTATATCAATTTCAGAAATCCTGATGACATCCTTCTCTTTAGAGATCGCTTTGATGGATATGTCTTCATTGACAGTAAAGGTAACCTATTATCATCTCGTTTGAGGAACTACAGAATTGTATGGTGATTTCCATGAACCCCAAGGGCTATTGGGTTCATTTTTGGTAAACAACAGCTAATTTTTCCATATGATAAATTTGGGGGAGGGGGGAGGGAGTTAAAAGTTCCCATTATAATTAAGTCTTGGTAAATTGCGTGCATCAATCTATATGCCTCATCACGCTAGATAGGGCATGGATCCACTTTAAATCCGGTTTCTGCCTCCTGCAGAATTCTGGGGTCTGTAGTTTAATGAGACCCAGGACCTGCCCTCCCTAAGCTACAAGACCCAGAATTCTGCAAGAGGCAGAAATCGGATTTAAAGTGGATCCATTCTCTAGTGTGATGAAGTCCTATGTGTGTGCGTGCACACGTGTTTGCAGTCAAAAGTTCAAAAACATATACATGGGATTGGGTTTTGTTTTTGCAACCTCTGAAATATAACATGGTTTATATTACATTCGTTGACTTGAGCAGACACCAACATGGATGAATGTGTAGTTTACTTTCACAAGCTGAAAGTCTTTTTAGAGATATCTTTGTTAAAGATTTGTGCAAATTCATTTCCACAATTGGATCCCCTGAGAAATGGCTGAGAAATTGCCTTGAGCAGGCTGGGTTGTAGAAGAAATAAAATCAATATTTTCTATTTTGTAACCTAGTGAAAGACAAAATCAGGGTCTATTGACATTTTGCACAGAAAATGATGTTCTAACATGATTAATAAATTACTTTAAAATGAAGTACAGGCAGTCTCCAAGTTACAAACAAGATAGGTTCTGTAGGTTTGTTCTTAAAGTGAGTATGTAAGTCAGAACCGGAACATTTGTGTGTGTGTGTGTGTGTGTGCGCATATATATGTGTATATACATATATGTGCTAACCTTGGCTAGCATAGGGAAAGGTTAACAGCCCTGTGGTGTTTGTTCTGCTGTCTGTGCCCGTGTTCAGAAGATTTTGAAAAATGTGGCTTGTTGTGGCAACAAGGATAGGTGAGAAAGCTTCACCTTCACATGATAACTCTTCCAGGAGTGAATTTCACTTCTGACGGGTAGATTTCATAGAATCATAGAATCAAAGAGTTGGAAGAGACCTCATGGGCCATCCAGTCAAACCCCCTGCCAAGAAGCAGGAATATTGCATTCAAATCACCCCTGACAAATGGCCATCCAGCCTCTGCTTAAAAGCTTCCAAAGAAGGAGCCTCCACCACACTCCGGGGCAGAGAGTTCCACTGCTGAACGGCTCTCGTCAGGAAGTTCTTCCTTATGTTCAGATGGAATCTCCTTTCTTGTAGTTTGAAGCTATTGTTCCGTGTCCTAGTCTCCAAGGAAGCAGAAAACAAGCTTGCTCCCTCCTCCCTGTGGCTTCCTCTCACATATTTATACATGGCTATCATATCCCCTATCAGCCTTCTCTTCTTCAGGCTAAACATGCCCAGCTCCTTAAGCCGCTCCTCATAGGGCTTGTTCTCCAGACCTTTTATCATTTTAGTCGCTCTCCTCTGGACACATTCCAGCTTGTCAATATCTCTCTTGAATTGTGGTGCCCAGATTGGACACAATATTCCAGGTGTGGTCTAACCAAAGCGGAATAGAGGCGTAGCATTACTTCCCTAGATCTAGACACTATGCTCCTATTGATGCAGGCCAAAATCCCATTGGCTTTTTTTGCCGCCACATCACATTGTTGGCTCATGTTTAACTTGTTGTCCACGAGGACTCCAAGATCTTTTTCACACGTACTGCTCTCCAGCCAGGCATCCCCCATTCTGTATCTTTGCATTTGTTTTTTCTGCCAAAGTGGAGTATCTTGCATTTGTCACTGTTGAACTTCATTTTGTTAGTTTTGGCCCATCTCTCTAATCTGTCAAGATCGTTTTGAATCCTGCTCCTGTCCTCTGGAGTATTGGCTATCCCTCCCAATTTGGTGTCGTCTGCAAACTTGATGATCCTGCCTTCTAACCCTTCATCTAAGTCATTAATAAAGATGTTGAACAGGACCGGGCCCAGGACGGAACCCTGCGGCACTCCGCTCGTCACTTCTTTCCAGGATGAAGAGGAAGCATTGGTGAGCACCCTCTGGGTTCGTCCATTTAACCAATTAAATCCACCTCACCGTAGTTTTGCCTAGCCCACATTGGACTAGTTTCTTGCCAGAAGGTCATGGGGGACCTTGTCGAAGGCCTTACTGAAATCAGGTACGCTACATCCACAGCATTCCCCGCTTCTACCCAGCTTGTAACTCTATCGAAAAAAGAGATCAGATTAGTCTGGCATGACTTGTTTTTGATAAATCCGTGTTGACTATTAGCGATGACCGCATTTGTTTCTAAGTGTTTGCAGACCGCTTCCTTAACAATCTTTTCCAGAATCTTGCCCGGTATCGACGTGAGGCTGACCGGACGGTAGTTGTTTGGGTCATCCTTTTTTCCCTTCTGGAAGATTGGGACCACATTGGCCCTCCTCCAATCTGCTGGAACTTCTCCCGTTCTCCAAGAACTCTCAAAGATGGTTGCCAATGGTTCCGAAATGACTTCCGCTAGTTCCTTCAATACTCTTGGGTGTAGTTGATCTGGCCCTGGGGACTTGAACTCATTTAGAGCGGCCAGGTATTCCTGTACGACTTGTTTCCCAATTTGGAGTTGGATGTCCTCAAATCCCTCATCCACTCCGTCTTGCTGAGGTTGAAGATGACTTTCTTTTTGTGAGAAGACCAAGGCAAAGAAGGTATTTAGTAGTTCTGCCTTTTCCCTATCCCCTGTCAGCATTGCCCCATCTTCTCCTCGAAGAGGCCCTATCGCCTCCTTGTTTTTCCTTTTTCTACTGACATAAGAAAAGAATCCCTTTTTATTGTTTTTAATGTCCCTGGCAAGCCTGAGCTCGTTTTGTGCTTTAGCCTTGCGGACCTTTTCCCTACAGGTGTTGGCTATTTGTTTGAATTCTTCTTTGGTGATTTCTCCCTTTTTCCACTTCTTGTGCATGTCTCTTTTGTGTCTCAGCACAGTTAGAAGTTCTTTGGACATCCATTCTGGCTTCTTTGCACTTGTCCTATTTTTTCTCTTTGTTGGCCGGTTTGCAATTGCGCCTTGAGTATTTCACTCTTGAGAAATTCCCATCCATCCGTAACTCCCTTGTCTTTTAGTATCTGTGTCCACGGAATGCTGCTCAGTGTTTCCTTCATTTTTTGGAAATCAGCTCTCCTAAAGTCCAAAATGCGGGTTTGACTTGTCTTAGTTTTGGCCTTTCTTTGTACCTCAAATTGCAGGAGCACATGGTCACTTGCCCCTAAGGATCCTACCACTTCAACCACATCGATCAGGTCCTCCACATTTGTTAGGATGAGATCAAGAGTAGCCAATCCCCTTGTTGCCTCTTCTACCTTCTGGACCATGAAATTGTCTGCAAGGCAAGCGAGGAATTTGTTGGACTTTGTACTCTTGGCCGAGTTTGTTTTCCAGCAAATATCGGGATAGTTGAAATCGCCCATGACTACTACATCTCTTCTCTGTGCCTGTTTGGTCAACTGTTGGCAGAAGACTTCATCAAGTTCTTCCTCCTGGCTTGGAGGTCTGTAGTAGACTCCTACAACAAGATCTTTTTGAGTCCCAGTTCCCTTGATTCTTATCCAGATGCTTTCAAGCTGGTTTCCCGGATTGCTGTCATGCATTTCTTCTGCAGCATAAGAGTTTTTGACATATAAGGCTACTCCGCCTCCTCTCCCCTTTGTTCGGTTTCTGTGAAAGAGGTTATAGCCCTCGATGTCTACATTCCAGCGATAGGAGTCATCCCACCAGGTTTCAGTGATGCCTATGATATCATATTTGTGGTGTTGTGCTAAAAGTTGGAGTTCGTCATGTTTATTTCCCATGCTCTGTGCATTAGTGTAAAGACATGTGAGCCCCTGAGATCTTCCCCTGAGCTGTTTAATTGGGATTATTGTGCTTTCGGTACTTGGTCCTTTTTGTGTTTGTGCAGCCCTCCATTTAGCCTTGTGGCGGTTCCCTGACATTATGGGTAAAGTAGTGTTCGCAAGGCTGTTGTCCCCCTCCCCCAGTGGGCCTAGTTTAAAGTGCGGCTAATGAGGTTTGCGAGTCTGTGAGCAAAAAGGTGTTTTCCTACTTGTGTGAGATGCACCCCATCCCTTGCCAGTAGGCCATCCTCCTGGAAAAGCAGGCCATGGTCAATGAAGCCATTTTCTAAGCCAGTCATTGACCTGTACTATTTTTCTGGCCCTTGTAGGACCGTGTTTTATGACTGGGAGGAGGGATGAAAAGACCACCTGTACATTACATTGCTTTAGCTTTGTTCCTAGAGCTCGAAAATCATTTGTGATCTTTTGAACAGTATTTCTCTTACTTCCTGTTGTCTCACCCTTGTTGTTAACTATGAGTCGTTTGTAAAGCAGATGTTTGTAACCCGGAGACTGCCTGTATATGTATACTCTACATTATCAAATAATTGTACTTTGATAGCCCAGCTATAGAATATTTGCTGATATATTTATTGAGAAGTGTATTTCTTCCGAATTTAAATAAATATAAATGGAAGAGATGTTGGTGCACTTGTGTTACACTGGTTCTGATGCAGCACTATTTATATATAACACTAAAGTCCACCAATGCAAATTTACACAACAAGTAAGAGCAATACCAAGCAGAGCTGTGGGTTGAGAAAGCTATAATTTATCTGTATGTGCAGATTTCCTCTTCTGAAAAAAAGGAATGTTTTGGTCAATTTAGGGAGCAAAAGAACAACCCCTTTCAATTGTGATAATTTTATCTGGAAGGAGTACAATTCAAGAAGGATATAAGCAAGATTCCTTCAGTCTTTAAGTTTATGTCCTTCTACCTTTAATTATTCATGTCATTTGTAATCTCTCCAAGGTTTAGAATATCCTGCTGTGGTTGAGTTTGCACCATTCCAAAAGATTTCTAAAAAGAAGCTGAAGAAGAAAGATGCTAAAGCTGGAAGCATAGAAGATGGTAAATCTTTTTGTATACAAACATTTCTTGACAGCTTGAAGTTTTGTGGTATCTGATGTAATACCGTAGATGGCATGATGTGCTTCATTTTCTTTCCAATGTCTTTTGTTTACAGATCCAGAATATAGAAAATTTTTAGAAAGTTATTGTGCTGAAGAAGAAAAAATAAGTGCCAACCCTGAGACCCTGCTAGGAGAAATTGAAGCAAAAACAAGGGAACTCATTGGTCTGTTAAGATCCCGTAACTGATTTTTCCATCCCGTAACTGATAGTTTACAAGTTATATTTTGCATGAGTTCCTAATAAGGAGACTGGTCTTTCTTCATTATTTAACATTAGCTAGTGCTCTCAGAACATACAGTCAGATGTATCTGTAAGGTTGGTTAGACACTCTCTTAGTGAGGGTCAAATATTTCTGTGAACCTCTGTAGGAGATTATAAAGCACCACTGTGGATCTCTATAGGGGATTATTTCAAGACTTGCATTATGTACTGACCTCTTCCATAAGTAAGGGAATCATAAGCAACCCAAATGAGGAATGAAAAATACATATATTTCTAATTTATGCTGCTTCATAAACTTACCGTGAGAAGAAGACTGTTCTTTAGTATTTAAGCCTTTCTCATGATCTACTTTTTTAACATTTGAAATTTTACTAAAGGACATTAGGCATTGAATCAAACTCTATGGAAGAAATTAATGCTATGTGTTTGGAGTATAAAGAGATCAAAATCATCCCAGCAAATGAAATATTTCATTTAAAAGTACAATTTCTGTTTTATGTAGAAATAGCCATTAAGAAAGGGAGTTACTAACCATTCAGTACTGGTTGATAATGAGATTGTTTTGTTGTTCTTACCACTACAAAAATATTTAGCTTTTAGTGTGTTTCATTATTTTAAACCAGTGGTTCCCAACCTGTGGCCCGTGGACCACCAGTGGTCCAAAAGAACGAAAATACGGTCCGTGGCCTCACCATTACTTCACTGTTGCCTTGAAACCACACGGCAATAAGAGCAATTGGTCTCATGAAACCCTCTTATAGTGCCAAGGCAACGGGGATGTTGGGAGGGGAGAAGCTGACTATCCACGAAATATTACTACTACTACATCAGCTCTAGATTATTAAATATGGTTTTCTGTAGGCGAGCAGATAGCGACTACTGGATGGCATATGTTCTGTATCAGAAAATAGGCTGATGTGGTCTATCCAATTCTGAATTGGCACCCCAAATAACCAAATAAAACCTAAAATTGACCAAAAACTGATTTGTAACCCTTTTGGTCCTAATGTTGGAGAGTGGTCTCTGGTCAAAGTGGTTTCTGGTGAAGTGGTCCCTGGTCAAAAAAAGGTTGGGAACCACTGGGTTAAACTATGTAGATAGGTCTATCTTTTCCCCCAATATGTGGTACAAAGAGCCAGCATGGTATAGTGGTTTGAATATTGGACTCCAGCTCAGGATGCCAGGGTCTGCTCAGCCATGCATACCCACTGTGTGGCCTTGGGCAAGTCAGATTCAGAAAATTAGAAAAAGTGTTCTCTCAGTGTAACAAAAAGTAAAGGCAACCCTCCTCTGAATGAGTCTTGTCAAGAAAATCCCATGATAGGTTTGACATACATTTGAAATGACTTGAAGGCACACAACAGCAACATGTAGTACTATATATTTTTTAATCAAAATTGTGGAAGAAATTCAGATAACTATGACAATAAGATAATTACAGTAATAATGTGCAGTTCTAAGAAGGAACAAATTAGACACAACTTAAAGAGATGAAAAGTAGTTTCTGATTCATAGAATCATAATTGGAAGAGACCATTGATTTCTAGTCTATGTACATGTAAGAGGTTAGGCCTGTGAACTAAAGGCTAGACACCGAAATTTTATAGCCTTGGTCATATGATACTTCCATAATATCTTTATAAAGAAAACCAGTTATTAATTCCAAATATAGTAGAACCATTTAAACTATGGAGCAAACATAAGGTAACCAAGTAACCATTAGATCAATGGTTCATAGATTAAATTAACAATTGAATTTAGACTCATGTGATTTATTCAATTATGTGGATGCCTCCCATTATGGCTTCAACTGACACTACAGACTAACATGTTTATTTGCATAAGAAGAAGCCACATGGTTCAACCAGTTTACCTAAGTGAAATTGCCCCTGGTGGCACAATGGGTTAAACCCTTGTGTCGGCAGACAGGACTGCTGACCGACAAGTCAGTGGTTCAAATCTAGGGAGAGCAGGTTGAGCTCCCTCTGTCAGTTCCAGTTCCCTATGCAGGGACATCAGAGAAGCCTCCCACAAGGATGGTAAAACATCAAACATCCGGGCGTCCCCTGGGCAATGTCCTTACAGATGGCCAATTCTCTCACACCAGAAGCAACTTGCAGTTTCTCAAGTCACTCCTGACACTCTCACACAAAAAACCTCTAAGTGATTAGACAACGTAAAACTTGTGTCTGTGCTGCTCTAGTATGTACAAAGTCTTCCTACAAATTAGGAAGGCGCTTTAAAATATCTATTACTCTGAACCATAATTTAAATTAAGTAAAATTAAAAAGGAGGATCAAGTTACTAATAAATTATCAATTTTAGTTAAAGTTATTTCCTGTGCTACTAGCTAATTATAGCTCAGTGCATATTTGGAAATGAAGTTCTGAAAAGCAAGAAACATTCCCATTAAAAACCTGAACTATAATGATAAATGCATTGAAATGTGCAACTAGAAAATTTTGATGATACACAATAAGTGACATTTCAGGCCCAAGATAAAAAATAAATGATATGAAACCACCAGTCAGGGGAAAGATGAAGCAAACATATTTTGCAGCATAAACATTTTTCTTCTCCAAAGTGTTGAAAGCTGTAGAACAATATTTATGGAAACAGTATAGTATTTTTATTGTATACATCACTGCTTTTCAACAGGGGCATCTGTGATCTGATGCCAGTCCATAGAAAGTTTCCAGGAAAGAAAGTAACAGTTCCAGTCAAAAGTCACAAATGTGGCGCTGGTCCCTGGCAATTGGGGAGAACCCTCTGCTGGTTCTCCATGTTAGATAGCTTAAGAAGCAGTGCTATGCGTTGTATTAATTGTGTGCATTAAATGTGAATAGTTAGAAATGTTAAATAATCTCAAAAATTGGTTTATCATTAATGATGTATGGACTAAAAAAAGAACAAATGACCTGTTTGTAACAGAAATGTGAAAATGCTTTATTACAGAAAACCCATATGAAACAGTGTTCATGATTGCTTACTTAATAATTACAATGTTAAATCTTAATGATAAAAATCAAACACAAAATATATTTATATTAGGAATGGAGCACTATACATCACATTTTTTGTGTTTTAGCTAGAAGAACAACACCACTTTTGGAATATATTAAAAATAGAAAATTAGAAAAACAGGTATGTTTGTTTTGGACTCCAGTTTAAGTGTTGTGTTTCAAGTTCTTTTTAATACTTGTATAAATCTACATTGAACATTTCCAACATTTTAGAGAATCCGAGAAGAAAAAAGAGAAGAACGAAGAAGAAGGGAATCGGAGAAGAAACGGCTAAGAGAGGATGAAAAACGGAAGCGCAGAGAGGAAGAAAGACGTAAAAGAAAAGAAGCTGAAAAGCAAAAGAAAATTGCTGAAAAAGAAATAAGGATAAAGGTAATTTTGAAACAGAAAATGTTTTAAAGCTATTGCTGGCCTTACAATTGTGCCGAGTTTCAACATTTTAGTTTAATATGTATCCTCAACTTACCATATATACTCGAGTATAAGCCAAGCCAAATATAATCTGAGGCACCTAATTTTACCACAAAAAAATGGGATAATGTATTGACTCAAGTATAAGCTGAGGGTGGGAAATGCAGCAGCTACTGGTAAATTTCAAAATAAAAATAGACACCAATAAAATTACATGAATTGAGGCATCAGTAAGTTAAATGTTTTTGAATATTTACAGTACATAAAACTGTAATTTAAGATAAGACTGTCCAACTCTAATTAAACCATTATTCTAACCTTCTTCAATATAAATGCGCTTATGTATCCTTTCAGTAATAATAAAGAGAGTAAAATAATAAATGTAATAAAATAATAATAGAGGAAAATAATGGAAATGTAATAACAACAATAATAGAGAAAATAGTAAATGTAATAATAATAGAGTGAAATAATAAATGTAATATTATAATAGAGTAAAATAAGAAATGTAATAATAATAATATTTATATTCTGCCCTTCTCACCTCACAGAGGACTCAGGGCAGATTACAATGTACATATACATGGCAAACATTCAATGCCATAGACACACAACATATATAGACAGACACACAGAGGCTATTTAACATTCCAGCTTTTTCATGAGGGTATTCTGGCCACCAGGGGAGCTGTCACTTCACTGTCCATTTGTGATATTGATGAAGTACTTCCTCATTCTTTGCATGCTTTCTGGAATTTTTTATGGCATCTTAAATTAGCGTCCCTGCATAAGCGGTACCTAAATTTCCTACTTGACAGATTCAACTGTCTTTCGGGCTGCAAAGGTCAACAGCAAGCTACACAAATTGGTCAGAAGCTCACTCCGACCCTGACTGGCTTTGAACTCATGACCTTTCAGTCAGTAGTGATCTTAATGCAGCTGACTCCCAGCCAGCTGCACAACGGTCCCGGTGTGAGTACTGTGAATAATGTGAAAAGTTGTGAGGAAAATTGTAGTAAACTTAGGTAGAAGACCCTTCTTTATGGGCCACAAAGCTGGAGTCTTGCTAAAAGTTGCTCCTAGGCATCCAGATGATGTTCAAGGACTTCTAGTCCCCAATGTAAGGTAAAACTAGTTAACCTGTTTATTATTAGTAGAAGTCTCTGTATCTGCAGTAGCTTGAGATTTCGGGGTTTGTGTGGACAGCTGGGCTGGTTCTGATTCAGAACTAGGGGTGTTGTTCACACAGGCCAGTGTTGTCATTTCCCCAGCAATAAAAAGGATGGCACTTACTTTTTGTTTGTTGCTGCAGTGACAGCAACAGATCTCCAGAGCTCTTCCAGCCAGGAGAAAAGAAAGGGATCACCCCTTCCTTTCCCCCCTTCTTTATCCAAATTGTAAAGGCACCTTTGCTGACAGCAGTAGAAGCATCTGGCAATGGCCAGAAGCTTTCCAGAGCAGTGACAAATGATACAAAGGGTAAGGGTGACTATCCAGTAGGCTAAACTGGGTTCAGCCCAATTGAACAATCAGGACTCTGTTCCCGTTGCTGCGATTCAGGAGTGGATAAATGTAAGCACCCCAACTGAATTTGGGGTCAGTCCAAAGCAACAATGCTTCAGACCCACTCTGGATTTAGGTGTCCATGCATTGGGGTCCAGAGAGAAGTATGGAAAGGTGGGCTGAGCTAGCCAGTTAAGGGAAAGAGAAAAAAGGCACCTCCAATTTATCATTTTTTCCAGTTTTCTTTCCAACTAGTTTTATTGGGATGGGTGGGGGTTGTCTTGTAAACCTGCCCTCTGTCTTAGTGGTGTGGCTTTTTGATGACAGAAAAAGATAACCTGTTATTGTGAATTGTGGGTAAAGGGGTTGACCTAATAAGTGTCACTGAGACCTGTATGGATCGACAGGTGGCTGGACTGGATGGAGCCTGTCCAAATGTTGTTGAACTGGACACCTTTGTGCAGCAGAACCAATGCAGCCTGGAGGAATGGAAATGGTTTCTTGCCATATAGAAGGAATATTTCTGACCTGTCAGCTTTTAATCTGAATTTGAGTTTGAATTTGAATTTGAACTAGAGAGACAGATCAGCATTGTTCTGGAGTACTCATCATTACTGCCATCAATCTATATTTCAGAGCAGGCTAGTGTGGTCTCCAATATGATTTTCGTGAACTCTAGGACATTAATTCTAGTGACTGATTCAAGGCTTCTTCTTCTTCAAAGTCTTGAGTATCTTGAGGTAAAATTCCTGAAAAACTGTGAGTTTTTTCATATATGAATCTTCTTTTGTCTTAGAATCAACAGATACAACTCTTCCCAAAGTGTCTGCTGAATACTGTGTGGTAAATATGGAGAGAAAGAATGCCTTCTCTTTTATGTCCCATTTGTTAGAATGGGACATCTCTCTTCACATTTACCACACAGTATTCAGCAGACACAGTATTCAGCAGACACATTCAGCAGAGTCTTATGCGCTGGCTTTGAAAACATTTACAAGTCAGCTTAAAACTTCTGTTTCCTGGGGCATTTTAAGTCAGGGAGCTGATTTACTATGTATTTACTAACATGCTAGAGTTGATTTTGTTATTGTATGTTAGCTAACTTAATTGTATTTTAGATATTTCAGATTATACTTTGTTCATTATCATGGTATCTGTTCAGTGAAGAGCAATTGATATTTTAATAGACAAAATCAAATATTTCTTAGCTTCTTAAGAAGCCAGAGAAAGGAGATGAGCAAACCTCAGAAAAGCACAGAGAAAAAGAAAAAGCTGACATCGACGACAGCAAATGGGAGAAGTCACCAGGACACGGGAATATAAAATCCAAGCCACAGGAAGGTTCACTAAAGGAAGTTAAAGAAAAGTAAGTCATACCTTAACTTGATGTCTTGAGTTGCATCTTTAAGACTTTTTAAATCAAATAATCACTTTGCCTTATTTTAGACCAAATTGGAACATGATTTTCTGATATTTCTTCTTGTATATTGAATCAACATGTTTCTATGTCTGGAACTAAGTAAAGGTAAAGGTTTTCCCTGACATTAAGTCTAGCTCATCTCCATTTCTGAGCATAGACACCTCCAAGGTCACGTGGCTAGTTACCTTCCCGCAGAAGCGGTACCTATTGATCTATTCAAATTTGCATGTTTTCAAACTGCTAGGTTGGCAGAAGCTGGGCCTAATAGCGGGAGCTCATCCTGCTCCCCGGATTCAAACCACCAACCTTTCGGTCAGCAAGTTCAGCAGCCCAACAGTTTAACCCACTGCGCCACCAGGGGTCCTATGCCTGGTACTAGAGTCCTAGAATTTGCAATGCTGAAGCATTCTTATTTTTTTATTAGAATTACATAGATTGTAAGAATTATAAGAATGTATCATTGTATCTCATTATTTGATTATTGAATATGTGCTAGCATCATTTCGGTTTGAGAACTGGATCCACTGTCATATGAAAAGCTTTGTGACATTTGATCTATGAAATTCATGCATAAAACCCTCCACACGGCACTGAGACTTTATATGCATATATGAATCTATGTTAAACAATGCTAGTGTGTTTAATTGCTTTGGCACAATTGACAGCCTATGGCCAGAACTGAAAAATTACTTATAAGAAGCCTGAATATAATGATACACTGGAGCCATCAATAATTGAGCAGAAGTACAAAAGATTTTTGAATTTTCCTTAAAAGTAACTTTCCAACCTCAATCTTAAGGATCTTAAGAGGATAGGATACACTATAGTGGCAAAATATGCTATACTTCATTTCTTCTCTCAATAATCTTAGCCCATTTTCTTTTCTATATAGAAAGAGGAAAACCTTCTCTTCTTAAAAGAAAAGTGGAGTAAGGGGCTGGCTGTTCATGATCAGTCAACTTGCTCACTGATGATTCTAGTGAGAGCTACTTCCAAGAGGCAACTTCACCCCTGCTGACAGAAAAATGTTTTCCTCCCCAGTTCTAGAACATTCAAGGTCCTTACCCTAACATACAATGTTCTCCAAATTTTATTATTTATTTATCTACTGTATTTATACCCCGCCCTTATCACCCGAAGATAAATCTCATTCTTTTTTTTCTCCTTACCTGAATGTGAAATTGGTCTTTACATTAATACAATGTTTTTCTTTTCATGTTATTAACTGTAAAACCAAGAAGAGTTACAACACAACGCTATAACTACTGGTTGAAAGTATGAAAGCTCGTTCTTCTTCCCAAGAAATAAGGCCTCTGGGGCTTGAATTGGATTGTCCTGTGAATATAGTTGTAAATGAACTCCAATAGAACTCCCTTTATGTTCTTTGCCATTGTCTGAATTTTATATATTCTTTTTCTGAGTTTGATCGGTTATTGTTATAAACACAGATCACAGAATGATAGTGATAAAGAACAACGAGATTCAGACAGAAGATTTCGCGACAAAGAACCTGAGAGACAAAGGTATCGGTTGGAAGACGGCCGAAAGCACAGAACTCACTATGAATTTGACAAGTTTGTGAGAAGAAATGATGATGAGGTGAAGTGGGGAAAAGGATACAACCAAGATCGAGGGAAGAAAGTGAACTACAACTACAGCTTCACTGTGGACACAGTAGACAAACTGGGTAAAGAGGACAAGTGTGATGACATGGCATCCAAAAAGGAGCGCATAAGAAATAAGGTTCTTTTATTCATTTAGGATAATCTTTCATTAGTAAAATTACTTCAGGGTCACATAGATTTGCTTTAACAGCATGAGTTTTTAAAGAGAGTTTGATTTTCAGTAGTGTGAAAATCTCCATACTTTACACAGTTGAAGCAGTGAACAATGACGTGAATCTGTGATTGCATATTTAAAGCACTTGCTTTTGTGAAGTACCATTAATGTAATTCTGTTTTTTTAAATGCTTAACAAGTTTAATAAATACATAAGAGTATATTTGAATTGTCCATAAGCAGTGGGTTGCTGGGAGTTTTCCAGGCTGTATGGCCATGTTCCTGAAGCATTCTCTCCTGACATTTCACCCACATCTATGGCAGGCATCCTCAGAGGTTGTGAGGTCTGTTGGAAACTAGGCAAGTGGAGTTTATATATCTGTGGAATCTCCAGGGTGGGAGAAAGAACTCTTGTCTGCTTGAGGCAAGTGTGAATGCTATAACTGGTCACCTTGATTAGCACTGAATGGACTTGCAGTTTCAAAGCCTGCCCGCTTCCTGCCTGGGGGAATTCTTTGTTGGGAGGTGTTAGCTGGCCCTGATTGTTTTCTGTTGTTCTTTATTTACTGTCCTGATTTTAGAGGTTTTTTAAAACACCGATAGCCCAATTTTGTTTATTTCATGGTTTCCTCCTTTCTGTTGAAATTGCCCATATGCTTGTAGCCTAGTTTCCAACAGATCTCACAGCAACCCAGTGATTCTGGCCATGAAAGCATTCGACAACACATTGTCCCTAAGGACCTTACCTTTATCCAATCTACCCTAAACAATTCAGATTTTATGTCTTAGTAAATTAATACAATTGGAAAACCAAAGGAGTCTAATTTACAATAGCATTGATGTTGGTCAGATAATAGGCCAAAAACACACAGGCTTGACTTCAGTACTAAAACAAGTTGTATTTTTAAAAAAGTGATTCTGAAGACTTCCAAAAGACTATTTTTTAAAGAATTTTGCTGTTGGTAATATAAATATGGTTCAGGTGATTAGTGTTTTGCATATTTGCAACTAAAGCCTTTGGCTATCATAGTTTATTAGAACTGCATCTAAGGGCTTCAAGTACTTGGCTTTCAGAAGCCAAAAGTGAAATAAATGTCAGATCATAATCTAGATTTTTTTTACTATTTCTTTGTAAAAGCTGTTTGTCAAAAGTTCCTGTTGTCTATACCACTCAATGAAGTCATTTTGAGATCTTGTAGGTGGATAAATGTTTATTTTCCTGAAAGTCTTTATCTTCTCTTTGTTTTCCCCATCACACAGGATCGACCAGCAATGCAACTGTACCAGCCAGGAGTTCGCATTCGAACACCTACGGGGTGTTCAAATAGGTCCTATGACTGTGCTGAGAAATATCCTGAAGAGGCTTATGACAGAAAGTATGAGGCAGACAATTCACCAGGAGGTGGCTCCGAGAAGAGTGAAGATGTAGAATAAAAACAACATGGACAGAAACTTCAATATTAAGATTTAGTGTCTGTCTCCAAATTCTATGTGTTTAGAACTGGACTAGTGTTATTATTATAGTTTCTAGCAGTAGTTTGGGCTCCATGCCCAAATGTAGTTTATGTGTTAGGGAAAGGATTTGTTGGTGTTATGCAAAATGAGAAGAACATTTGTTCTCTTTTCAACTGTGGGTCTTCTCTGTGCACATGGGAAAAAAATTATATTTCCATACTGCAAATGGGTGCATATTTGATTGTATGTTATGATAATAATCACTAAAATATAATCCACCAGGGTGAGTTTTATCAGCATTATCATTGACATACTACACAATCAAATAGCTCCCCCAATTGAAATGGTGGTCTTATGATCATATGCGTAGGTTTGAGATGCCGAAAGGGCATGAATAGGACAATCTAGTGAACAGAATGTAGAATTTGATTTTTGATAGCTCTTAGCGTGTTTGCATTTTGTATAAAACACTCCAGAAAATGTTACAGCACTTCCATTCAGTTAAATGAGCAGAATATTTTAAAGTCTGTTTCCGTCAGATTTGAGGCATTTGATTGTGTTCTATAAACTGCATTAACTACAGAGGCCCCGTCCTGGAAAGTAAAGAAGAAACAAAGCCTTATAAAGAGGGTAACTGTTTTTATATCTGTGAAGAGGGAGTAAAAAGGACACATATACTGGTAATATTTTCCCTGATCAGGTTCATAGTTCAGGTTAAAGTAAGTTAATGAATGCAATGCTATATAACAAACTTTAGCAACTGAGCCCATCTTTTTATTGAACTGAAACATGTACTTTTGATTAGGAACATATATTTCAATTATTATGGAAGAGCCCCACTCAACTTATGTCAGGATCATGAGTGGTTACAAGGTACTTTGTAGAATGAGGTTCATAATTTGCACATCTGTATCCACTGTCACATCTTTCAGTAATTTATTTTTGCAAGGGTTCCCCTGTAATTCCTTGGAGGACTACACCTTTGTGGGAGGTATGCAACCTATGAGTCGGCCTTTCCCTACTACTCGTTTAAAGCACAGCATGTGCACATAGAAGAGGTGTTCTTGACCCTTTCTATTTGTAGCAACAGTTTTTCTCCTAGTCAGATTGGTCAGTCCTACTCCAGTTACTTGGAGTAGATAAACATTTTCAGGGGAGAAAGTGTGGGCAGTGGTCACCAGTACCTTATTAGGAATTCAAATGTCACCTATGTCTACCATGGATCTGCCACAATAATTTATTCTTCAGTTTGCTAATCCATCAAGTAAGTGTCAACAATGCATTTGTTTTGTTCGTTTCATTTTATTTTGGTTTCTGAACTGACTCTGCCTGTATGTTTAAACCAGAAAAAGTCTAAAATTGTTGCATCTACCTTTCATGAGATAGCATTTTAAAATGTTTTTGTCACTTTTTAATGTGTCATTTTATCAATGTTTTGTATGCTAATATCTTATAAAATATTTTCTCACATGTCACCAGTGGATATGGAAATACTGATATGTAAATGAGCAATGAAACAAAGTATGTCAGAGGGAGAACAAACAGTGGCAGCTCATCTCTGAAAGCACTTCTTTTATACACCTTTGTGCTTTTCTAGTGTCTTTAATAGGCAACGGAAGAGCATCACTTTGATACTGCTGACATTTTGTTTGTCTAAACATATAATTTATTTTACTACTTTTTTACATCTTGTCTCGACCTTTTATTCCTTAATCATATTGTCAGCATCCAATTGTTCTAATGTAAATAAAGGTGATTTTCTGGAATTTCAGCCAGTGGAAGAATAAACTAAAACATGATCATCTGGGAAATGCTTGATGTGTTATACCTAAATGGTTGTAAAATATAATTAATGATTAGCAAAACAAAATAACAGGTTCAAAAGTGCAGTGCTGATTTAACATATATATTTGTATACATGTATTCAATACCTACACAGTCTCACATTTCCAGAGGACATCTTCAGTTTCAGTTGTTATTTGGTTCCTGGCTGATGCAGAACTTGGCTTTAATCTCACTTGCTCAACTCATCTAGATCTAGGCTTCCATGTGTACAACCAAATACAGATGAAGATAGATATGTGCATACGCATCTTGATACTTAAGCTAGAACAAACTAACCAAATGCATCTTTTCCTTGAGAATCTTCAGAGTGGAGAAAACAACTAGAGAATTCAGTATATTCAATTATATGCTAGGAATACCCAGTGGTGCAATGGGTTAAAACCTTGTACTGGCAGGACTGCAGACCCAAAAGTCAGCGGTTCAAATCTGGGGAGCGGGGTGAGCTCCCATCTGTCAGCTCCAGCTCCTCATTCAGGGACATGAGAGAAGCCTCCCACAGGATGGTAAAACATCTGGGCGTTCCCTGAGCAATGTCCTTGCAGACAGCCAATTCTCTCACACCAGAAGCGACTTGCAGTTTCTCAAGTAACTCCTGACATGAAAAAAATTATATGCTGGACAGGTGGAAATGCCAACTAGTTACTGTTGTATGCTTTCAGATAATTTCTGACTTATGGTGACACTATTATTGGGGTTTCTTGGCAAGATTTTTCAATAAAGAGCTTGCTTTTGCCTTCCTCTGAGACCGAGAAAGTTCGACTTGCCCAAGATCACCCAAGGGGTTTTCATTGTCGAATTGTTATTGATCCACTGCTCTTCCGAGTCATAGTCTAATGTTCAAACCTGAATACTATCCTGGCTCTAAGTGTCAAATGCTTCTGCAATAGTCAAGAATATTGAAGAGTTCAAACTCATGGATACTGTGATATATTTATTGCACACGCACACATACAACAGCATGAGCAAGACCTACTTAGCATCTGTAGCTTTGATTACTTTAACACCCATCACTGGATATAGGCTTTCCCCTCTTGTATTCCAGCTTGGTGGATTTTTACAACAATAAGGCTGTCCTTGGATGAGCACACAGATTTTGTACACACTTGACTAGCTTGGAATACAGGAATGTATACCAACCATCACCTATTTGTCATCAATTTCAGAAGAATGTGGTCTGTCTTCTCTGCATCAGAGCCAAATGACCAGGTCTTTGGTTGACTTTAAATGGTTTCTTGTAAGCCGGCAACCTGTCTGTCTGTGCATCTAATGTATATTTGTCTTGCAATCTTTGTATTCTTTCCCAAAACTCTTCAGTGTTACACAACTGAAAGATAAATATTTGCAATGCATATTACATAATACATATAAGAATGCCAACTCTTGTTCAAAATACATTGGTAACCCTTTCATTATATAGCACTTCAGTCCATTAACTTTGATTCCGTTTGAATTTAATATAATTCTAGCTGTATATGGTAACTGCCAATGGTAAAATGTTTTACATACTACTTCTGCAAAGTTCCTTACTTAGGATATTAGTACATGCCTTAAAATAATTGTAAGAATTATTACCTTCCAAAACCTTTTACATGTTTTGGACAATTGCCTAATATCCTCCGTATTAAGAAAAGACAGGATGTGCACAATCAAGCTTTCGGGCATTCGGATTAGGAAATCATAGCGTTCTTGGCACAAGTTGAGAACATAGTCCAGCATTGGCTTTCCAAAAATGCTTTGCATCTCCTCTGAGTAAAACAATAAACATACAGAAAAGATTATAAACACAGTGCTGCAAAAAAGGAAAAAATGTATGATGAATAAAAATTATAAGTAATCTGAAAGCCTATTATTTCTAATTTACATCATGTTTGTCACAGTTGATAAATGGTGGCATCAATCATAATAAGTCCTGGAGTTCAACGTGGAGCCACTGGCTTGTTCTCAAACTCCGGGGATAACGTATTGTCTCTGCGTGAAAATCCATATTAGTTAGAAGGCATTTGGAACCTTTCAATATGTAGCCAGGTGACATTAGCACCCTGAATAATGTTCCTGTCTTAGAATGGCGTTCCTACAGTAAAGCTAAATTTCTTTCTACAAGCCATGGACATGTTTTGTACTTAAATCAAGATGTCTAATCACTGAACCCATTCTAACAAAAATGATATACAAAAGGGACCCGTGCTTGCATTACTAGAACAAACATACTGACTCCACATATAACAGTGACTAGTAGCAGTGCAATACAGTATAGGGCTATGAGATAGCACCCCTCTGGGCCTCTTCTCTTAAGACCCTTAAGTGTCAAAAGGCACATAAATCTCTATCCTACCTAAACAACTAAAACTTTTTCCTCCTGGAGAGAGGAAAGAGCCTTGCACCCAGTTGGCTCTTGCTACACTAGTGGTTCCCAACCTTCTTTTTTGACCAGAGACCACTTTGACCAGAGACCACTCTCCAACATTAGTATCAAAAGGGTTACTAATCAGTTTTTGGTCAACTTTATATTCAGTTTGGTTATTTGGGTGTTGATTCAGAAAATTGCATTGGACAGACCACATCAGCTCTAATTTGTGATGCAGAACATATGCCATCCAATAGTCGCCATCTGCTCACCCACAGAAAACCATATTTAATAAGCCTGGGCTTTTTAAAGCTAAGAGGGTTTTGCGAGACCAGTCATACTACTCGCAACGGTGTAGTAATGCTGAGGCCACAGACCATATTTTAGTTCTTGCAGACCACTGGTGGTCCACTGCCTACTGCAAGGGTGCCACCCACTGGACAGTTTCATGCTGCTTGGTCAATGCTGATGGATAATCTCATAATTTTGACTAAACAGATAGCAGTGGCCAGTAGCACTGTATAGAACAGAGGTCTATGGTTTCTTACAGAGGGGACAAATATGCTCTACCTCTTTGGGCTTTTTCTCTCCTGGAGACCACAAAACTTACATTCTTCTCTGAACAGGGACAGAAAAACAGAGTTGGAGTAAGTAGCTGTGTTTTTCTCTTTCAGGAGACTAGCATCCTCTCACAGGGCTGATTCTGGCAAGGCCCATTGCCAGCATGTCTGTGGTCCTTTGAGCAAATATGTTGGTCTCTCCAACTTGGAGTTGTATAAGAAACTTAGGCCAATGTAGACAGATGTATGCAGTGCTGAAATATAGCCTTGCTAGGTTGACTGAACATATTGCAGCAGCGAGCAGCAGTGTGTAGAATAGAGGCTTGTGAGGCTCCAAGGTGGCTGTGCATATAATTCACACATATATGCTTCAGGGAATGTAACAAAGCATTCATTAATTCTAAAACATAAAATAAACCACTAATGAATTTCTCTGTGTGTATTTTGCATATGTATGCAGCATCCTTAAAAACATACAGGCAGTCCCTGAGTTACAAACATCTGACTTAAAATGACTCATAGTTAAGAACAGAGGTGAGACAACAGGAAGTGAGAGAAATCTACCCCTTGGAAGGAAAATTCACTCCTGAAAGAATTATCAAGGAGAAAATGCATCTCCCTTGAAGCTGTTTCACCAATCCTTGTTTCCATAACAAGCCAAATTTTTCAAAATCCAATTCTCACAGGGACAGAAAGTGAGATGAAATCATCTGAACAGGACATAGTCAGCAGAAGAAACACCACAGGGGTGTTAACCCTTTCTTATGCTATCCAAAGCTATATTTGGCTGGAGTTTCACTTAAAAATGTACCTGTTCTGACTTACATGCAAATTCAACTTCAGAAAAAACCTACAGAACCTATCTTGTTCATAACTTGGGGACTGCCTCTATACATGGAAGAAACAATCTGATGCATTAACAAAGTTAATGGGTTCATGGATTAGATATATCCAATGCTTCCCATTGTTATTGACTTTTTAAAATGGAGATTCAGTATAGTTAGCATTTTGAGTGTTGGACCAGGACTTTGGGAGACCAGAGTCAGAATTTCTGTTCAGTCATTAAATGAACTGGGCGATCTTGTCATGTTCTCTCAGCCTTAAATGAAAGGCAATAACAAGCCTCCACTGAATAAATTTTACCAAGAAAACTTAGCATAGGGTAACCTACTTCAAGAGTTGACTTGAAAGCACATAGCAACATCAAAGAGAGATGATATGTTTAGACACTAGGCACTTTCTGCTGTTTCCTATAACCATCTTCACACAATGAATTATGCATGTTCCCATTCCTCCTCTTTCCTAGCCTCTGAAACTTTAGTTCCTTTCACCTGCCCAAAACTACCATTCCTAAGGGAAGAAAAAGCTATCTAGGAAATACCAAGATGAATGTTTTGCTGTGCTCTGGATTATATGCAGGAGATGCTTTCAGGGATCCATACTTCTTTCTTGGTCCAAAGCATATTATTCAGTGTTTACTGATCCCAAACCTCACTCACCCAACAACAAATATGTGGAGATGTTTTGATTTTGTCCCTCTTATATATTTTTCCAGTAGTAGTTCATGTTCTCAGTGGGAATGTATCCTCTCCTGTCAAGTGACATAATTATGGGGTTCTTCCACTTATCCTAGATTCTCCACTATGGCTCTTCCTATCCTCAGCCTGCCTTCTTTATTCCAGTGGTTTATTTATCGTGCCAGGAGCGAACCAAAACAGTTATATTGCATTAAAACAAACAAAGAAACAAAACACAAAGTTTGCACACTTGGTATCCTATTTAATGTCCTTTGACCAGTATCTGGCCACTTGGAGTGCCTCTGGTGTGGTCACAAGAAGGTCCTCCATTGTGCATGTAGCAGGGCTCAGGTTGCATTGCAGTAGGTGGTCTGTGGTTTGCTCTTCTCCACACTCGCATGTCATGTATTCCACTTTGTAGCCCCATTTCTTAAGGTTGGCTCTGCATCTCATGGTGCCAGAGCATAGTCTGTTCAGCACCTTCCAAGTCACCCAGTTTTCTGTGTGCCCGGGAGGGAGTCATCAGCCATTGATTGAGGTTCTGGGTTTGAGCCTGCAACTTTTGGACTCTCAATTGCTGAGGTGTTCCAGTGAGTGTCTCTGTAGATCTTAGAAAACTATTTCTTGATTAAAGTCGTTGGTGTGCTGGCTGATACCCAAACGGGGTGGGCCAGAGATGTCATTGCCTTGGTCCTTTCACTATTGGTTGCTACTCTCCGGCGGATGTCAGGTGGTGCAATACCGGCTAAATAGTGTAATTTCTCCAGTGGTGTAGGGCGCAGACACCCTGTGATAATGCGGCATGTCTCATTAAGAGCCACATCCACTGTTTTAGTGTGGTGAGATGTGTTCCACACTGGGCATGCATATTCAGCAGCAGAGTAGCATAGTGCAAGGGCAGATGTCTTCACTGTATCTGGTTGTGATCCCCAGGTTGTGCCAGACAGCTTTCGTATGATATTATTTCTAGCGCCCACGTTTTGCTTGATATTCAGGCAGTTCTTCTTGTAGGTCAGAGCACGGTCCAGGGTAACTCCCAAGTATTTGGGTGTGCTGCAATGCTCGAGTAGTATTCCTTCCCAGGTAATCCTCAGAGCTCAGGATGCTTGTCTGTTCTTAAGATGAAAAGCACATGTCTGTGTTTTAGATGGATTATGGATCAGCTGGTTTTCCCTGTAATAGGCAGTAAGAGAACCGAAATCTTCGGAGAGCTTCAGTTCAACCATCTCAAAGCTCCCTGCTTGAGCGGTAATGGCATGATCATCAGCATAGATGAAACTTTCTGCCCCTTCTGGCAATGGCTGGTCATTTGTGTAATGACTTTCATTTCATTTGCATAGGAAGTAAAAGTACATTTACTTCCTATGCACTTCTCCTGCTCATATTCCCTGTCTAGTCTCTTTAATTTCTTCCCATTCCACTTTGTGTTGCCCATGATTGCTGCTTTTCTGGGTAGCAGATCAACTTTATGTAGCCATCCTATTAACAGCATTAATCACAGACAGATCATTTCTATACTGCTTAACCTCTGGATCCCTGAAGTTGGAAGAACAGTATCATTGCTTGAGGGTACTTCTAAGGCACATTCTGCCCATCAGTAAAACTACATAGACCTAACAACATACACTAGGAGTAAAGTATGAGTCCATCATTACTTCTGCAATGGACATCAATGCAGAGTTTGGTGACTGCCACCAGATGGCTCATTGTAAAGTTTGATTATAAAACCATGAAATTATCGCTGCCAAAAAAATAAATAACGCGAATTCTCCATGGTAAAGCTTGCTATTGTCTCCTGCTACTCCTCCTCTTTGAATATCCAGATATTTGAAAAATTTAAACTGCAGCAATGAATTATAGAGCAGATGATTTCAGTTTAATGTAAAAGGCAAGTCCTCATCAAAATTATACAGCATTGCCCAGGCATGTCATATGAAATGTGCACTATTTTTATTGGCCACTTATCTTAAAAGGTTTGCTTCTTCGAATATGCATGGCAGCTTTTCACAGTCTGAAAGCTTTTTAGTTTCCAAATATAAATGACATTGGCATTTTAATCATTATAATACCTACCAAAAAGGCATGAGGACTTGCTGTGTGTATTTCACACACTTGCTGTGTTTATTTCAGTATTTGAAGTACTGAATAGATTTCTCCATAGTGACTGGATCACATGGTCTAGCACTATTCATAAGTACACAGCCTGAACAAACAGCTAATTCTAAAGAAGGGTGAAATGAATGATTGCTTTAAAGAGAAGCTGGACAGAAAGAAATTAAACTGACCCTGTGTGGTGAATTTACAGTTTTTTTTGTTTGGCATTACAACAGTGCTTTAGTGGTGGAAATTAGACTTGCATATATACAGAATGTATTTGCTTTTTTTTTTCTTCTCCATGGGCAGCTAGCAAAGGTAAAAGCTATGGCTCAGGTTGCATGAAAAGACCATAATGAGCACTTGCTAGATAAGAATAAAGTGACAGCTTATAAAGAAAATACATGGATGGCGTTGAAATTCTTTCTAACAACTCATAGGGACCAAAATGCTTATGGTAAAGTTGGTAATGTTGCACTCCAGGACAGGAAAAGCCCTCTAACTGTAAACACCACACTGTTGACTGGAAAACAATCCTTTTATTGAAGATAATTTAAAAACCAGCAAAGTAAAAAGCACTTTAAAGGAATAGGTAAATCCAATTAGGTAAGAAGATAAGCAGGAGCAAAAATAGTCCAGGATAAAGTTCAGCAAAGTCCATAAAAGCCAAGTTCACACTTCTCTAATATAAGTCAGACAACCAGGAAACATTAATCCAAGGCATGAGTAGTCATTTATACAATCCAAGAATCCAAACCATGAAACAAGAAATACTTAGACAAGAATCTTCCCAGCAAGGCTTCCATGAAACAAGGACATGAACTACACTAAACAATGCTTCATCTGACTATATTTCCCATACTTGGAACTTTTTGCCCTCATTAAGCTATCCCAAACACTCAGAAATTGGTTTCACTTTAATTGAGATTCCCAAGATGGAGATGGTTTAGTCAATGATCTTCATGCAGACAATGACAGAGAGGCCCCAGTGCAAAGGGCAGTTTCTCATGAGAATATTCCTGCTGGGTTTAAGGATGATGGTTTACTCCCTTTCTGTGAGCTTGGAAAACAATCTGACACCTGGAAATTTTAATGAGCAGCCAGAAAGGGAGTTGAAAAATAGGCGGCTAGAGTTCAGCCAGGATCGACAACAAACTCAATGTTTACATCGCTCCGAAAGTTTTCATCAGATAAGAGGCAAGAGTGGAGGAAAACGAAGCCAATTTTTGGGCTTTGGGATATAAGGTTTGCTTCAAGGGAAAGCCTATTAGATCAGGCATCGTTTGGAAATCATGTTCATGTGCCTTGGAAATCCTGTTCAAGGGGTCTTGTTCTTAGAGATTTTAGCATTTTGCCGTGGTCTAGCACCTTCTGGATTATCTTTGCAACCTGTTGATTCCTGTCTGAATAAATACTACCTTGGATTTTTAAAATAACTCTGGTGGACATTGCTTTGAATTATTGCATTTTACTGATCTTTTACATTTTGAAATTTTCCTATTTTTACAAGCATTTCTTTCTACTGGCTATTTTACTCAGCTTCAATAAAAAGGATTGGTTTTTCACTCAACGTGTGGTGTATTTTAAAGTCAGAGGGTTTCGTTTCTGTTCTGGAGTGCAACACTATCTCCCTGGAGGGACTCAGGGAGAATTCCAAATATAAAAGGCAAGCATTCAATGCCCAAATACAACAATACATCCATACTAACAAAATTTAACAACCCAATATATAAACATGAATTATGACTTAACAACTAAAATTAAATAAAAAACACAGCCGTTATAACATACATAAGACAAAACATCGAACAGAAGCAACAATTTCCCAGTTCCTTGGGGGCAAATAGATTGATCATTGCTCAAGTTATCTATTGAGCTGGTGGGATGAGCAGGGCACGAATATGGATGGTAGCTATTAATCAGAGTTATAATGGTAGTATTACCAACTCCTCCTCCTCCTTGTAAGCCAGCTTCCTCCTCATAAGCCAAAAAAGTACAGAATAAGAATTATATGTTATGTGGGGGGGGGGGGATTGGACTTTTAGAGACGCTCAGGTGGGGCATGGCCAAAAAAAAAAAAAAAAGAGGTTGGGAACCACTGATTTAGAGTAAACTTTCTTCAACATTACCTGACATATTTTCAAGAAAAAATGCAAACGTAGCTTCAATAGTAGGACGTCTCAATGAACACAGAGTAAATATGAAAAGAACAGAGATATACATGTAGCAATTATAATTAAAACTGAACAACTTGGCAAAATTATGACTTTTTGGAGGTCAACATTGAATTATTTCTTTGCCCACTCAATACTTGCTCTGTAATTGTTCATCCAGGAGAAAATCTTTATGGAGTTTCTTCACTGCCCATGGGAGGATTTTTTCTTGATTAGGTCGAAATGTAATTCTCCATATTTTCCAGAGAACCTACAGGATAAGAGTTTAAAAGAATGACAGGATACTAATCCTTGTATCTTTCAGCAATAGTGAGAAACCAAGACTTCAGTCACAACCATGATATGTGCAGGAATCACTTGATTTGCTTACAAACACAGAAGTAGAGCATTTCATTTTCCTGCTGGTTTTCTAGCTAGAGCAGGGGATAGGAAAATCTCTCAAGGAGAGCTTGAACAACCTTTGGTGGATCTTAGATATTCAACAGGTGTGCTCTCTCTTCAGCAAGCATTCAATAACACATTCCAGCCCATTGATAACACAGATCTATATCTTTTTCTTTTTACCTCACTTTTTGTGACAGTCAAGTGGTGGAAATCCTTGCTGGGAGGAGGTGCCTGGGTGTGAACTTCACACAGTGTCTCTTGCAGAAGAGAGGTCATTTTGATAGGGATGTCTGGCCACTTGTTTGTAGTCTGGAATTAGAATCAAGGAACTAAGCCTGTTTCCATGGGCACTGTAAGGAAAACTTTAGCTTGGCCCAATACAGGTGCTCCATAAATACATGGCAAGCTAATGTTTGCATTCCTGAGGTCAGGTTCTTCTTTACCCAGGGAGAGTTCAGGTATATGATGTTTACAATCATTGGTTGGTAAACGCAATAACAAAATCATTAAATAGAACACTAACATCTTGAATCCTTTGCATGGTTTTGTTTTGGTGCCACTGATATTTAAGTAGCCTGTTTCACATTGCTCATTTCACCAAACAATATACCCTAAAAAGCGTGTGAACACCATTGTCTTGTAATCCCAAACTAACGCCTCTTCTACACTGCTATATAATCCAGATTATCAAAGAAGATAATTCTCATTATCTTGTTTGAACTGGTTTATTTGAGTCTATGCTGTCATATAATCTAGTTCAAACCAGGTAATCTGGATTTTATATGGCAATGTAGAAGGGGCCTGTGTCTTAACCAGTTGTATTAGGATGAAACACCATACAGACCCATTGTGTAGATAATCAGCTTCCTCATTGTTGAAGTTTTAAAACCCACAACAGAATCTCTGAGGCCTTTCACACTGGCACTGTGTTGTTAACTAACATGTTAACTTTGATTTATGGTGGCCATATAAATGGGAGACCTACAAGTCACCCTGTTATTGACAGCCCTCATCAGAACTTGCAGATTCAAGAAGTTGGCTTGCTTGTCTGAGTCTACCCATCTGTGATGCAGTCTTCCTCTTTTCCTGCTGCCTTCTACCTTATCAAACATGACTGTCTTTTCCAGTAAGATATATATTCTTACACCTCCAAAATTAAAGTCTCAATTGAGTCATCTTGGCTTCAAGTAGACACATGCAAGTTGCAAGCCAAGTGAGCCTGAGAATGAAAATGAGTAATTTCCAGTATTCATGACTGTTTATGTAACTTATTTCAGAATTTTAGGTCCTACTCCACCACCTTGCACTTAGCAATTTTCTATACTTTTACAGTGACTAAAAATAAACAGATGAAGTTTTCTGATTGTCCAGTTGTGATACTAGGAAACGGCTCTTGTTAAATGTTAGGCTAAAGTATGGCAATTACAGCTCAAAAGTCTATTAGAAAGAAAGTGAATATGGTACAATTCAAACTACTGAAGAAACACTGTTTAACACCTAATTTCTGAGGACATCAGTTCCCCAGATGTTGCATTGCCACATTTTAGCATTGTGATTACTCTCACTAGTATTTTTAGTGTAGGAAGCACATTCCACCAAACTTGAAGAAAGGCAACACTTTGCTCTCTCTGCTCTGGGTGTTTCTCTTGACATTGGAGTATTTTAAGATAGGATTTATAGAAAAAATGTCAAAACATTTTGGAATGAAACAGTTTTCAAGCATTCTTTTGGCTTTGTTGTAGATCCAAATATGTAGGTTGGGAGTTATGTCTATCAAATATTTCATTTTGCAAGTTCTGGAACTTGGTATGGCTCCCAACTTTTTAAAAATAGATTTTGTTCTGCAAACATAATAGGCACTGACATTTCCTTCCGTATGTTTTAAAGCTTTTCTTGCTGATGTACACAGTTGATCAAAATTGCTCTTAAAGATAAGGAACTAGTTCTGGCCATCCTTTTCTGATAATGTGTCAACTACGACTTAGAAATATGTACATTATATGCAACTTGATAAAACTTTACTTCAATCTCTCCCTCCATCTTCCTTCCTCCCCTCCCTCCCTCTCTTTTGCTTCAATTAGCCCTTTCAAGAAATACATTGTTATTATCAATCATCATCACTTCAGCTCTTCCATGTTCACCAATTAATATTAATATAAACTGACAACTGTAAAAGAGTTTAAAATGTGAGAATGGCATGCAACATCCTTATACTTAGCAGGATTTCCAATGTAAGAGTGTGGTTGGGATCTATAAAGGAATTAATTTAGTACCAAACAATCTGAACTCTTTGATTCTATGATTCTATGAACAGAATACATTCCTCCACTAGGGTTTCTTCCCCCTTTTCTGGCAGAATAAGCACATCATTAAAAAAATATTATATCACTGCAAGATCTTTGATAACAACACTAATTAAATCCATTTTAATTGTAGGCTGCCATGCAACAAAAATGTGGAAAAGTCAAAGGGAGATGAATAGTTCTGCAAGGCATTCTATGCAGAATACTCACACAAGTTTTTGAAAAATACATCAAAGTATGTGAAGAAACAAGTAACAGCAGTAGAACAAGATAATCCTTTTTGTGTTTAAGCAACCGCATGATAGTATATGAACACACACACACCTTTTGTAACACAGACATACTTTTAATGCAACTGCTTTTTAACCTCAGCTTATGTAGTAAGTGGGACTACAGATGTTGGGATACAACTCCCCAACAGCAACAGCCATGAGAACTGATAGCAGTTATACAAAATTTGTAGGACAACAAGTTACCTATGCCTCCCTAGAGGGCATCTATACACTGTAGAATCAGAGTTTGAAGAGACCAAAGGCCATTCACTCCAACCCACAATGTAGGAAAAGCATAATCAAAGCACCCCTGACAGATGACCATTCAACCTCTGTTTAAAAGCTTCCACCACACTCCAAGGCAAAGAGGTCCACTGTTGAACAGCTTGTGCGGTCAGGAAGTGCTTCCTCATATTCAGATGGAACCTCCTTTCCTGTCACTTGAACCTATGTGGAGATATGAGAGACGCCTCCTACAAGAATGATAAAACATCAAAACATTTGGGCAACGTCCTTGCTGATGGCCAATTCACTCACACCAGAAGCAACTTGCAATTTCTCAAGTCGCCCCTACACTCTGAGTCCTAGTCTTCAAGGCCTCAAAAAGCAAGCCTGCTCCCTCTTTCTTGCATGGCAGAGTGTTGGACTACACGGCCCATGTGGTTTCTTCCGACTCTATTATTCTATGATTATTTCTTATGACATCCTTTGAGATATTTAAATATGGCTACCATGTCTCCTCTCAACCTTCCCTTCTGCAGGCTAAACATGCCCAACTCTTTAAGACACTCCTCAAAGGGACTCATGGTTTCCAGACCTTTGACCATTTTATACGCCTCCTCTGGACACATTCCAGCTTCTCAATATCTGTCTGCATTAATTTTACAGTATAGATGCTCCCTAAGAGCCGTAGCAAACTACTGGAAGCAAGAGCGAGCTTGTGCTCGAGCTCGCTCCGAAGCCCCGCCTTTTTCCCCCCGAGGCTGCTTTCTCTCTTGCTAGTGTGACTGTTTTCCCTTGCTAGGGAAGCAATGCGAGTGTACTCTCGCAGTTGGCAGAATTCAACTGTGAGCGTACGCTCGCATCCCTGCCCTCTGCAATGGAAAACAGGCACGCTAGCAAGAAAGAGAGCAGCCTCGGGGGGAAAAAAGGCGGGGCTTCGGAGCAAGCCCGAGCACAAGCTTCCTGTAGTTTGCTGCGGCACGAGCGTATGCTCGCAACGCTGCCCTAGCAAAGGGAAGTAGGCGGAGAAAGAGGCGGAGCATCGCTCGTGCTGGCTTAGTTTGCTCTCGCAAAATCCTAGTTTGCTACGGCTCTTAGAGTCTTTGGGGTAAGGGTCTGTTATCCTTCCCCTTAGCAGGATATAAAAAGAATTCCTTCTATGTTTCACCTCAAAATACAATTGCAGGTATATATTTTTACCAAAGAAATACCACCTACATATGTTGATTGTTTAATGAAATACTGGACTACACAGGCCTTCTATCATTCATACCGTTTCCAAAGTGGGAGCCATTAGAGGCTAGTGCAGCAAAAATAAATTCAAGACTTACTTTAAATAACTTTTAAATACTGTAAACAATAACAGACTACTGTATGAGCATTGGTGCACTAGAGACCTAAAGGTGCCATGTGACTTGTGCTGCTAGTGTTTTAAAATCATCAGCCACTAGAGGTCTGCAAACATAAGACATCAGATAGCCAATTTAAGAACTTTTAGTTAATGAACAAGACTTGAGGCATCTTAAAGACTGAGAGGCTTATTGTGGTACAGAAGTTTACGCATTAGAGCAGTGGTTCTCAACCTGTGAGTCTCCAGGTGTTTGGGCCTACAACTCCCTGAAATCCCAGCCAGTTTACCAGCTGTTAGGATTTTTGGGAGTTGAAGCCAAAACATCTGGAGACCCACAGGTTGAGAACCACTACATTAGGGTTTATGAGATGCATGAAAGAAAAACAACTTATGGACTCAGGGAAATCTTGAAATGCAGTATGTCTCACGCAAGTATGAATGCAAAGAGGCCATTCAGGACAGCAGTTCAATATCTGTAAGTTTCTGTGTTACGTATATTTATATCATTGGTCCAAGGGCACACCAAAGTATTCATCTTCAAATTAGAAAAACTCCTTTGAATACCCTTGCTCTCACAGATTGGAGGTTCGAATTCGGGGACAGTGCAGATGACCTCCGTCAGCTCCAGTTCCCCATGCAGGGACATGAGAGAAGCCTCCCACAAGGGTGGTAAAACATCAAAAACATCTGGGCATTCCCTGGGCAATGTCCTTGCAGACGGCCAATTCTCTCACACCAGAAGCGACTTGTAATTTCTCAAGTCGCTCCTGACCCCCCCCCCCAAAAAAAAGATCATGCCACTATATCTTCACTTCAAAACCATTAGGCATCTCCAGAAATATCTTCAGTGGTAAGATAAAAGAGAATATAATTTTTTAAATAATCAATCCAAAATTATTTCTCAAAACACATATTTGGTGAAGTAGTCAACCATTTATAGTTTCAATCTGCAAATTTACTATGTGCAGCGAGATAGTTTACATGAGGATTGTCATTGGGGATTGGAATGACAAAAATAAACTTTGACTAATGAATTTGAAAATATATTATGAAACTCCGAAAACAAATAAATTAAAACTATGTATGTGTTGAACAGATTTTAAAATGTTTTTGAAATGATTTGAATTGTTTTAAATGTTCCTGGGAAGGTTTTGAATTTGTGATGGTTGACATGTCTCTTGGGTTCTGTTGTGGGAAAGAGGTGGCATACAATAAAACTAAATAAATAAGTTGAAATTAGTTTTCTTTTAGGGTGGCTGTGAGTTTTCCAGGTTGTATAGCCATGCTCCAGAAGCATTATCTCCTGATGTTTCAGCCTTACTTACTTACTTAGGCAATACCTCGTTGTCTGAGTAGGATAGTCTTCCAAGGTCAGTGTACTGGTGGGTCCGTAGGTGACTGTGGAGCCCTATTCTTGATCTGCATCTTCTCTCACAGTGAGGGCATTGGTTTCCCGGTGGAAGGCAGTCTCAGGGTTGGCTTGACACACCTTTCTCTTGGCATGTTTCTCTGTTTCGCCCTCCATTTGTGCCTCTTCAAATTATTGAGCACTGCTGGTCACACCTGACTTCCAGCTGGAGCGCTCAAGGGCCAGTTCTCATTGTCTATGCCTTAGTTTTTAAGGTTGGCTTTGAGCCCACAACCTCTGAGTATGCCTGCCATAGATGTGGGGAAAACATCAGGAGAGAATGCTTCTGGAACATGGCCATACAGCCTGGAAAACTCACAGCAGCCCAGTAATTCCAGCCATGAAAGCCTTTGACAACACGGTTTTCTTATTGGTTAGCTTCCTGACTTTTTCAGTGTAGGGCTTCCCAAGTTATTTGAGGTACAGGACCGGAAACTGATTTCCCAATGTGTCAGGAGCATTTTTTGTATAACCCCCCCCCCCCCAAAAAAAACCCCATTTGAGACCAATTACCAAGGGCTTTGCCATCTGTATTGACCCATGGGCCATTGTGAGTCTTGTCATCAGAGGATTCTACTAGTCGATTCCCAAGGGTGCATCTACATTGCAGAATTAACAGTTCGACCCCACTTTAAAGTGTGTTGCTGCATTTATTCCACAGTGTAGAGCATGCATGGGCCAACGTGGGCCCTCTAGGGGTTTTTGGACTCCAACTCCCACCATTCCTAACAGCCTCAGGCCCTTTCCTTAAGCTTAAGCGGCTGAGGGGG